TAAATAATGCGTTATTTCCTATTTGAACAACCTAAACTTTCTAACAATGAAAGGTCGACAAAAATTGTTTTTGGCATGTTTGTTATTTGATGTAGTATATACTAAACAACCTGAATATTTGTACAAAAAGCTCCTCTGGCGTAGTAATGCCAACAAGCACCAAGTCAGGAGTTGTACTCAGGAGCTGGCCATTCCCCAGCATCGGACGGCTTCATTTCGTGGGAGTTTTAAATATAGCGCGACGAAGTGTTGGAATAATATCCCTCCTCAAGAAGAGTCTTTAATTAAAGTCAAATTTTAGTCGCAGTTATAAGACACATCTACTTACTCAACAAAAGTTCCACGAAATTTAGTTTTTGTCCCAAAAAAAAAATCTACTTATTAACAATTATTCTTATTTTTAACTTTTAATTTAATTATATTTACTATACACCCTTACACACGATTTTCATTACTTACACTACTAACTTTAATATTATTATTATTATTACTTTCTACTTAGTATTATTTTTATTTTTTTGCTACTGAGGCGCAAACTAGCTGCTGTGGTCTCTGGCAGAATGACCAGCGCTGTGGAACATTCTGCTCCTCAGCATAATGCTGAGCCAGGGCCAATTACAACCACAGCACACACACATTGCACACTTGGAGCGAACCGAATGGGAAAAGGGAATTTTTTATTTTTATTTTTATTGTTTTTGATATGTCTTATTTTTTTTTCTTTGAGTATTGTTATTTTGTGTGTTGTTATGTGTGTGTATTTTCGTATGTAATAAATGTTATGTCTATGTCTATGTCTATTATTTCATTTATATTATAATATGTATAATATTTCGCAGCCAACTAGCTTAACTAGCCGTTCAATTAACAGCCTAGCCTTTTAACTAAACGGCGCCGTTTAACTAGCGGCCTGAAAGATATTCAGCCGTAGCGTTTGTTACAACATTTTAAGGATATTGATATTTTCCACCTCACCAAAGAAGACGTGAGAAAGTATTTGAAGAGGCGGGAAGACACTGATTTTGTTTAAGCAGTAATTTGAAATATTCAGTAATATTTGTTGTTTTAAATGTTAAATTTTAGTTTTCTTTATATAGTTTTGTCTATTAATGTACTTGAACATTTGTTTTCTGTTTCGTATTGAATTGTTTATCTATGTAATCTGTTTTGGCTTTCTGTATTGTCTAAGTGTTTTGTTTTATAATATGTATGTTAGCTGTAAGATTACTTATAAATAAATAAATAAAGTAAACATTTAAGAAACTGGCTGGCTAATGCTTAGGCCATTCGTACGATCGAGTCATTATTTGGCAAAAATATGAAACATATCACTTAAAAAAAATAAAAAAACACGTTTTACACGTTTGTGGAGAATGATTTCTTGACATTTCACCTTTCAATAGAAAATAGGCCAAGAACTCTATTCTTTATCGTTAACGAAGCTAAATTTGCATCAATTAATAATAATAATTATGAATATACTGATAAACAATACAAACATGTACAATAAATCTAAATTTTCAAATTCAAAAATCATTTATTCATATGAGGAACAAAATATACACCTATGAACGTCACAAAATAAATGTATGTGAAATGCTTCTAATTTTACATTTACTGCCAGTTCTCAAATCAAGGGAAACGTAGAACGGAAGAGAAGAATTGGCAATAAGCTCTCCGCCACTCTTTTTAATAAAATATATCAATATAAATTATAAATTGTTTTATAGTACCCTATATTGTTTAAAACTCAAAACTTTCACCAAAAGTTTCTTATCCATTATTACTACTACATTTGTTCATAAAAAGTAATCAGTTCCTTTTATGTTACATATATTTATGTTAATTGTCTTACATAGGTCAGGTTTTAAAGTGAGTAAATGGGAGGAGATTCAGAAATAAATATACGCGCTCCATAATATGTGTATTGGATTTTGACATTCGAGAGTCATCGGTCGCACTTAGTACGAGACTAAGCTTCACCCACATCATAATTAAAATGTTTACCATAGGCCTACTTGTTTACTAATCGGAAATTGAATGTTGTAGCTGTTGAAATATATAATTTTAAACATTTTTAAACATATATAATTGTTAATAAACAAAATAAGTTCCCAGTGTTTGGTTACTATATGTAGAGGTTATCCACATCAAATTGTAACAAAAAATTATACAATTATAAAACATGTGTCGTAGACGACAGTTGATCTGAATTTCAAAGTTGCAACATCTTTGGGTAAAAAAATATAGGTAATTTTTATCTTATAAAGCATACTGCATGGGAAAGATAACATGGCGACTATGTTACATTAATAACTAAACATTTTAATATTTCTAATAAGTATCTGATATTTACTGATGAAGTTATGATAAAATTTAAATGGAAAATGAACGAAAGACGAAATGGCGCCATCGTTTTGACTTTCCTTCAAACGAACGAAATCGCCAGAGTGTGATTGGTCAAACGGACCAACGTTTTTGACGCGTGCCTGTGATTGGACTAGATGCTATTGACTAGTCACAAATAAAACACATCACTGTTTTGTCCTTCGTTTTAAATTCATACTGCCCCTAGTATAATTTCACGCCTGGACATTTATTTTAAAATATTTAGAAAATACATAGATCCTCGTGACTCTCACAGGTGGAAGAATTTTTAAAATAGATATAGTTGTTCTGAGTTTATTCGTTACACAAATACAAATAATTCCTCTTAATAATATTACTGTACATAATGCGACGCACGAATAGATTTATCTCTCTGCAATTCAAACTTTGTACGCGAAAGGAAGTCATCGTAAGTACCGTTTTCTACGATTTGATTTAATATTGTATCGTAATTTGTTTGTGTTAGACAAATAAATAATTGTTATCAGCTGCTACATAAATATTGATAACCAAACAAGAGTATTTGATTTCACAAGAAATTATACTGGATATGTATTAAGAATTATTATTATTTAATTAATGTTAACATTACATCTTGTGATATATTAAAAATTCAAAAATCATTTATTCACGTCGGTAACACAATGTACACTTGTGATTCGTCATTAAAGAAATACATATTAATGCTTCTAATTTTACATTTACTGCCAGTTCTCAAATCAAGGGCGTAGAACGGAAGAGAAGAACTGGCAATAAACTCTCCGCCACTCTTTTTAATCGCCATGATTTTTTACACAACGTTTGTAAGGAGCTGCAACCATTACACCATGTTCCACATGACATCTTAAGTAATTAATAATAATAACATAAATTAAAAACAAAGACTTGTCCTCTATCAGCAGGAGGCATGGTGAAATAGAAGCACGCACTTATTCTCGTGGGAACAACACGCAAACACATAGTCGAAATAATTAACATCACCGCATACACGAATTCAAGTACGACCAGTCACCACAAGTAGCACCCGTTCACGAGTATGACGCATGGCCAGCCATCGGCCCCCTCGCCATATTTTAGGGAGAGAGACAACCCGACGCATGGACGCCGCCACAAGCAATGACATTTAAGCGAGCATGACGATCCTTGAAATGTGGACTTGGCTACATAAGAAAATAATAATAATACTGAAATAATTCCGGAAGTCCCCGGAGTCTGGAAATGCAGCCGAGAGATTCAGTCGCGTTACCTATTTTTACTGGAGCAACTTATATCCAAGCACTAGGGTCGTTTAAATATTCATTTATATTATAATGGGCCTTAGCAAGCAGTTTTACTTTAATGTACGACTTAAATTTATTTATTGACAACACTTGTATCTCACTAGGGATTTTATTGAAAAAACGTATACAATTGCCTTGGAAAGAATTACTCAGCCTTATTTATGCAGCCTTCTGGTTGGTGCCCTAATTTTGTCTTTATCACGAGTACTATAATTATGGAAGCTTCTATTCTTTTTAAAAATATCTATATTTTTCCGCACACACAAAATATTCTCATAAATGTATTGACTTGCCAGAGTCAAAATATGTAATTCCTTAAACTTCTTTCGGACCTAAACCCGTGGGGACAACCCACAGATCGCTCTTATAGCCCGCTTTTGCACTACAAATACCGATTTAATGTCAGCTGCATTACTCCACAAAATAACACCATATGACATAATACTATGAAAATAGCTGAAATAAACAAGCTTTGCTGTGTTCTCATCCGTAAGATCGCGTATCTTTTTTACTGCGAACGCTGCGGAACTTAGCCTATTCGAAAGACCTTCTATGTGTCGGCCCCACTAGAGTTTACTATCTAAAGTAATTCCCAAGAACACCGCATTATCAACAAAGTCTATTTCCTCGTCTTTAATTATTATTTGAGAATGACTACTTTTTACATTTGTAGTTACAAATTTATCATATTTTGTCTTCTTTTCGTTTAGCTTAAGATTATTTGTATTAAACCAGTGAACTACACTGGAGATGGCACTGTTTACGTTATCAAGTATTAGTAGATTATTGCCTTCTAATCGCTCGAATACATAATTAGTACTTAATACTTAGCTAATTGTGTATTCATTTATTTATTTATTTAGGACACAAAACAGATCATAAAATAAACCATAAACACATTGGATATATCCACAAAAAGTTTCAGTGATAAAAATAACATACAACACAAAATATATAAATCAGGACAACGACAAACTTACTAGTAGATATAATAAAGAAGAAAGATAATTGTTTGTTTTAACATATTCATGTATTAAAAATTAACTAGACATTAACTCGTTGAAATGTTGTACATGTAAAAGACAAATTGCGATTTACTTAATGAAAATATAATGTTGTATTATTTTAATAAGATCGCGTTAAATTACGAAATATGTAGTTGTGATAAGTTTGAAACGGTATCGCCTCGTTATATAATTATAAATAACATTTGTTTACAAACTTCGGGAGCGATTGCACGGTTTAGATATAAAAGGCGGTAAGACAATCAAATTGTTTCATTAGTTCTTACGCATCATACGAAATTTATTTTGTTAATGTTATAGTGATTAAATGGCGCCTAAGGAACCGGATTTTGTAGAAATCGCTCATCAAAGGGCAAAAGAAAAAAAAACACATGTTAGTTTTCCGCAGTTAAAATATCCTTCTCTTAGAGATGAGGGCTTAAAGGATCCCGTATTATGGCTGACTGGCAAGGCCATGGACGATGGAGCCGAGGGGCTATGGAGAGTGCATGACAAACTTTACGACTTGGAGAGTTTTATCGATAGACATCCTGGTGGTCGGGAGTGGTTGGAATTAAGCAAGGTATGTTGTGTTTCAAGTTGCAGATTTGTATGTTCGAAATTTAAAAAAAATCCTTATCAAATTTACATTAATTATTGTAATTAGTATATTTCTAACGTTCATGTAAACACTGAGAATGTTTGGTGAAAACACCGGCATTGTAGCAATGTTTTGCTCTAGTGTAATCATTTCTTATAAGTGTATTTATTTTTATTTGAGATTAAAGATTAATGCAGTACCTGCGTCTAAACACAAAAGTAAATAGGTAATATTGAGTAAAAATATTAAAATTATAGTAAAGCAACTGCTCTCATATGTATAATATTTCTCACATTAATAAATTTAAAACTTCGAAATCAATTATTATTTAAAACACATATCACTTGCAATGTCACATATAACAGTTTTGTAGCATGTCGAAAATATTTTTTCTAAATTATTCTTCATATGTCATATCAGTGTTTTTGAAGTGAAACTTCTTTATCGAGGTTGGAAAAAAATTTAGTATAAAATTTTTTCGTTAAGCGTCACATTTTTCGGTTACGCGCCATGTTGCTTTTTGAAGTCAAACTTCTTTATCGGCGTTGGAATGAAACTTCTTTATCGACGTATGGGAGAAATTTTGTAGCAAATCGTCACGTTTTTCAATGATAGTAATAATTCTATTACAATTAATGAAATTCTATAATAATCTTCATAGTAATAAGGGGAAATGAAATATTTGTATTCATGTCTATGAGAATAAAAGCCTTTGGTAAACTTTATCTAATTTAACGAATTTCTGTAAAGTTGCATATAGTAGATCATTTTTCGAAAAATAAGATCATAAAGAAGTTTCTCTTCTTACGTGTGTACACCTAGTACACGCACAATTTATTAACCTGTAAATGGATATCAATTTAGGGCTTAGACGTTACCGAGGCCTTCGAAGCACACCATCTTAATCCGTCAACCGAGAAAATGTTGTCAAAGTTCTATATAAGAGACGCTAAATCCCCAAGAAATTCACCTTTCACGTTTCAAGACGATGGCTTTTATCGAACTTTAAAGAAAAGGGTATGGGAAGAGCTTAAAACGATTCCTAAAATGGAAAATAGACGTTCGGACATGGTGACTGATGGTCTTCTTGCCACTTGCTTGGCAGCTTCCACGATTGCTTCTTGGGCGGAAAACTATTGGATTGCAACAGCCGCTTGTTTTGTTGCTTCAGTATGCTTAGCGTGGATTTTGGTAGCGGCACACAATTATATACATAGAGGGCCCAATTTTCGAATGTACTACTTCAACTTAGCGCTTTGGTCGTATAGGTATGTAATAATATTGAACACAATTTTTCATTTATTTCAGATATGTGTTATAAGGCAGTGTTAGTAACAATTTGAGCTTTGATTCTGTTAGTAAAGTTTTATTATGGCAAAAGTTTATTATAATAACAGTTTTGTCTTTGATTTACATAACCTTTACACATTTAAAGAAAAAACTGTTTGACCGGATTGAAGTTATGTATTATTATAAATTTACAACTATTTAACATAATTTTAAATTTATCCGACGTTTCGCGTGCTTTACAGCGTGCGTGGTCACCGTGACCAAACAGTTTTTTCTTTAAATAATAACAGTTTCTTACTTCGAAATATATATATAATACTATGCATAGCTAATACTTAACTCTATTTAAGCTGCCTCGTTATTGATTGTGACATTCTCTACCATAAGGTCGTGAGTTCCAACTCTATGCATAAAAGATTTCCTTTCGGAGTGCGCAATTATTCGTCATATTTATTTTTATAGAGAAAGGAAGGCTTTAAAGGAAATCATCGAAGCAACAGAGATAGAAACTTGAGGCAAGCTATAAAGCGCCAAGATACACACTACTAATTATTAATTATGTTATTTCAGAGATTTCAGAGTGTCGCATGTGTTATCCCACCACCTTTATACAAATACTCTAATGGACTTAGAAGTCAGTGGATTTGAGCCGATAATTTTCTGGAATCCACGAAAAGAACGACCATTTTATGCTGACTATGCAATTGTGATTGAGCAATTTGTATTTCCGTTTATGTTTATCTTAAACTTTTTAAAAAGGTACGTATATATAGCGTTCAACAAATTTTTATCTCTTCTCAATAAGCTTGCCTAGAGCTAGCTTAGGAGAAATGTGTTAGGAATCTCCATATGTACGGCATTAAGCTTGCTAAAGCGAGAATTGGGCGATAATAGCCTTTAAAATAAACGTCGGTGCTTCCAACAGTGATGCTTCAGGTCTTAACGCTTCAATTTTATCTAGGCTTTGACAAAAGAAGAGCATACCTGTTACGTTATCTTCCACTTTTAGCTCTTCTTGCGATTTAACTGTTATTTCATATGCTTCGTCGATCATTTGACCGATACTAGCTAAACTAATTTTTCAGAACCAGCCTTATCTTCTTACGTCCCGGTTTCTTCACTCATCACATCCGATGGCATGATGGCATTGGTTTACTATTACCAATATGGATCTATCTGACGAGTGGCGCTTCGTTTTATCACGCTGTAGTTACGTGGTTATGGATTAACTGCACTGCTAGTTTTATATTCTTCACGATTGGTTCCAACGCCGCTCATCATCATCCCATGATCTTTAAGGATGGAGATGAAGTCAGGTAATTTATTTACTTATTTTCGCGTCCGGTGACCGCAAAGTATAATTGTTATGTTCAAGGTAATTAGGGTTGCCACCCGTACTTTATAATAAAGTATTGTACGATATTTCAGGTCGTTGTCCTGTATATGTTTCAACACTTGTTGAGAACAATAGAGTATACGAAAATACTTGATTTCGCATGATGTGATTTCTTTAGTCGTAAATAATTTTTCGTTAAACAAAAATTTTCGATTGGCACTTAATCAATGTTGCCATTCGCCATTACTCGCCCCACACGCCAATATCACTTCAGTGCTTGCAATTTTTTTTAGATATAATAATAAAGAAATACAAAGTGTATTTTACTTTGATACTATGTACTTTTTCTTTTAATTTTTTGTGTATTATAACCAATTTATACTTATTAATTCCAAAAAAAGGGGGCAACCCTATTACCGTAGAATCGTTACGTACCCCGGCATTGTTATGCAAGGGTGTAATATGCATATTATCGAGAAATTACAGGTTTGTATGTTAATAACTAAAAACTTAGTTTTACATACAATAAAAATGAGCTAATATTAATCGATAAATTTTATTGTAAATGCATTCACAACAGGCAAAATTATTATAAAATTATTGCGGCACCGGCATTAGCGTGATATTACGGCCTGATTGACTACCTACAATTGGGACATACATATTATAAGTTCTTTTGTGTAGAAATCATAACAAATCAAATAAGAGGTTATGATTCTTGACTTTTAAGATATTCAGATGTGTCGTTGACCTACATAATTTTCGAAAAAAACAATTTGTTGCAACAATTGTTGAAATCTACTTTTTAACTTCAAAACTAAACATTGTTTATCAGATATCAAAACAATAACAATAAATTATTGTAACGTGCCAAGAACGTGTGCACGCGTACAAATATACTTTAGTTATAATAAATCACAGGATAAGCTTTTACTTTTGTTATAACACATTAAGTTACTTACTTGCAATAATACCTTATCAATTGCTACAAAGATCGCAGTAGTTTTACGATCATAAGCAGGGTAGGTAAAGTATTGTAAATTTAAAAATTACTTACGATTACTATTGTATTCTTAGATTAGATCAGTTTTCGTGTAGCGCATTATTACAGTGAAATTAAACTCCTGTTTCCACTTCAATCAAACTGTTTAACACTAAGTATATTTTGTTTGCGAACATTCATGCACTTTTTATAGGTATGTATGAGGCGGCTGTCACTAGTATTAAACACTTATTATACTATCATAATACCAGTATTAAAACAACACTTAATTTCTTTATTCGTAAGACTGAGGATTAATACGGCGCATGGAAGAATAACATAACCTATTTCGGTCACGGGGATAATTCGTGGTCAAATGTGAAATGATAAACTACAAAGGACCATGGGATGGCACCCGCGCCTTCATTTGCCTAAGATAGCTACTATTATTACTTTTCGCACAAAACCGTTAACGTCAACGTCACATGTAAAAATAGCCAACGGGAACTATATTTTGTGTGTTTACTAGTTACAGTTGTTGTTTGTTGTAAAAACTAATGGTCTAAGATCCCGCTATACAACGACCTTCACCGAGATGCTTATTTAATGAAACTTATTTTATATATAATTTAATATGTCAATAAATATAATCCATATGGGTTGCCTAGCAAATTTCAGTCCAGAGTATGTTTAATTAATTTAAAAAAATATATTTTTTTAAACATTTTACCGGTATGATTATTAGATAAATTCTATACCAATCGAAAGTATGAAGCCCATAGAATATGCAAACGTTAGGTTCTTTTTAATCAATTAATTATTTATGTGTATATTTTTTTATGTGACACTAAAGTATATATACATCTTTAGTATAAAAGAAGGTTATAGTGATACATATATAATACTACCCTGATTAAAAATATTGATTGAAAAAAGTTCAAAAAATTTACTACATGCAAATTATAAAAAAAAAAATTTTTTTTAAATATTAATTAAACATACTCTGGACTGAAATTTGCTAGGCAACCCATATGGATTATATTTATTGACATATTAAATTAAATATAAAATAAGTTTCATTAAATAAGCATCTCGGGGAAGGTCGTTGTATAGCGGGATCTTATACTATAATAAAAATTATAATGTTCAAGCGGCTAAGCAAATTAAACACAAATTTATCATGATCTTTGAACCCTACTTATCGAGAAATTGGATAGGATTGTACACAGAATATAAGAGAGTTTGGTGTTATCTAAGGGTCATTTATACATATATTTAGTTTGTTTGATTATTACTGATTAGTGATTTCCACTGTCATATATATGTACTTTCAATATATTCTTAATTTGTGTGTTAGAGACATTTTTTTTTAATGTCGACGCCATCCTGTACGACTTAATCCCATAAGAAATACAGTAGAAATCGTTTACGACGACATCGTTTAGAACAACATACCGGTATGACCAAAATCAAAGGTCCTGGCTGAATTCTAAGTATTAGGTACTTAATAACAACGTCATGGGCTGTTACGACTATCGGTTTTTACGACCAATTATGAGTAGTCCCTTCGATGTCGTTATAACAGATTTAATAAATACCGTGTTAACAGGACTCTAGACTAGTAAAAGTATGTAGATTTTTATTGGGTACTAGCTGGCCTGGCGAACATCGTACCGCCTATCAGTCGATTCTTTATTTTTTTAAATATTTATTCTGCTATTCGGGACACTGGTCTAGCTTGTAAGGTAAAAAAGAAAGTTGATAAGACAACAAATACATTATGTCAAAAAATAAAAATTTACCTTCCCGGAACCCCTCCACTAACATTTGAACTTTATGATATGGTATTAAAGTTCAAATTGACTTTTAAGTATTATTACGAATATTTTGTATGGGAATATAGAAAAATGTAGTTTTTAGACTTTTTCACTCATTTTTTTTAATTTTTCTCTCCGTAAGAACCATCCTCCTACTTCAAGGAATATTATTAAAACAAATCAGACAAATCGGTCAAGCCGTTTTCATGTTATGTCGTGACAACGTAAAACGGGTTTCATTTTTATATATATAGATATATAGATATATTAACACATACAAATTTGATTTTAGTGACGTAACACCTGATTGGGGCATGCACGAGCTCGAAGCGGTGATGGACAGACGAGATATCAATGACAGTCACTTTAAAGTGATGACTTTTTTTGGACACCACGCTCTTCACCACCTCTTCCCTACTTTAGACCACGCGGTGTTGGAACATTTGTATCCAGTATTCCTGGAGTACTGTGAAAAGTACAAAGCAAACTTCAAAGAGACCTCTTCACTGGATTTATTTATCGGACAGATTAAAGCGACTTTGAAGACGCGACCAACTTTACTGACAGAAAAGAAATCACGTTATTAATTAATTTAGTTAATAAAGCAATATGTGAAATGTATTTTTATTTATATTAATTATGATTTTACTTAAATAGCGCGTTTATTATATGTGTGATTTATAATATATGTATACTAGCCGTGTCGCGCCCGCTTTGCTGGACGAATTAAAATAAATTTTATGTTTCATTATTTTATTTTTTTTCATATTTTTATTATTCTTCTTTTTAACTTCCCGCTAAGAAAATTGAAATATTTCGAAAATCGAGTTTTTAACAGATGTTGACGTTTAGAGGTTCTAGGAAGCCTCCCCGAATGTTTCCGCGGTGAAGTCCGTATGGATAAATTTTCATAAAAGTAAAACAGCAATAAAAAAATGAAGGAACGTTGGAATTTAATAAATAAATAGCCATAAACCATCTAGGAAAAATTTCGCATCGATGGTGGTAGTTTCATGTCGATACGAGTGGTTTAGGCGTGAAGGAGCCTCAAACGAAGACCATTTTTTTATAATATATGTATATATGACACATAAATAGTGGGTTGAAAGAAATACGCTTTAAAAAAGACAACTTCTTTAAGCGTATGAGGGTACATTTTTTACGGATGTAACGCAATAATAATAAATAATAAGCGTCACGAAGATGTGCAGCGTTTTTGTCGAAGAAAAGGGAGAGAGCGCTTGAGACCGATTGAGAGAGAGTGAAAAGGGCGAATAGATATAATATTAGTATTTTATTTTTTATGCAAAATAATTAATTCAAATCTCAAATGACAAATTGTAAATTAAAATGCCACGTGTTTTTATTACCGAAGAATAAATTGTATTAATTATCGAAACTTTTAATATTTTAATGACAATTAAATTCCTAACATATCTTCCTTTTTCCCTCCCTCTAAGTCTCGGAAATCTAAAGTTTTAGATTTTTATAAATATGAACAAGACTTAAAAATTAGTTTGCCAAAGAAGTTTCACTTCTGACATGTGTACTTTGTAGTTTGTACGCACGCACTTTTTTTATTTCATTTTTATTATAAATTATTATTATTTTTTATGCATGAAATAAATAGTGGATTGAAAGAAATACGCTTTAAAAAAGACAACCTTTACACATAATAGAAAACAAAATGAATAAGTGGGTGAATAATCTCTTTCAATTGACTTACAATGAATTCTAAATAACTTTTAATTTTTCTCTTGAAGGAGAGTTTCGGTTTGAACTGTGACTTAATAAAATTAAACTGTGAATTAAATTGATAAGATTAGTAAAATGTCACCCATACTCAAACGCTCGTGATGAGCGTTAAAATAAAATGTTCTATGTTCCCTAAGGGCTCCTGTAGTACTGAGGCGCTGAGCCTATTGAATTTATTTATCCCTTCCACGAAAACCGTGCGCTCTGCACGCACCCTTCACTCGCACGAGGCTGAGGACTAAATCTTCCTTACTAAGGCTCCGTAGATCTTAAAATCACTTGTCGTCCAAGATGGAAGGGTTTGACGTATTCGTCCAGTTTCTGGTCCAAATTGAGGCTGGACTTGTTGTGATCTAGGTTTTTTGTTTGTCCTGTATGCTTAGTTTAACAAAACAATAATTAATAACACATAAAAGAACGTGCGTTTTATTGTTTTACACTTTCTAATCAAAAACAAATAGTTTTCTTGGCATTGGCTTTAGTGCTAGCATTTCCTCGCTACGGTGCGAGAAAGTACAGTGCCCCAGTAGGTACCTACTCTCAACCAGACGCCAAGTAAATACATAGTGATTAATAATAATACTTTAGATTAACAAAGCATTTCAGAACAAGATCTCTAACGTAATTATTGATGGATCGGCTTCTCCTCAACATCATGTATATCAAGTATCATGTTTCGCCTAATAATATTAGCAAACATGGTATGTAGGTCAAGTAATTAAGGTATAACAGTTTTAACTTTGTTTCACCCGTCCCACTAATTAATTTACGAAATGTAAATTTTCGGTTATTTTGATATGAGAAAAGTTAGAATATGTCAAGGGTTAACTATTTTAAACTAGCGATATGAGTGACTTCCATAAACTTGAAACTTTAAAAAAAGGCTCATAAACTTGAAAATAATGATTTAATATATTGTGCAGTTTATATATTCACAAAAAATAAAATAAAAATAGATCAGTGGCGCTACAACCTTTTTAGGTCTGGGCCTCACATTGCTGTATTCACGCCGTCGACTTTTTGGGTCTAAGGCAAGCCGGTTTCCTAACGTTGTTTTCCTTCACCGCGAATGTTAAATGCGCGCATAGATATAAAGTCCATTGGTGCACAGCCGGGGATCGAACCTATGTCCTCAGGGATTAGAGTCTGATCATAATATTCACAAAGGGTAAAAAATTTACGGCATTTTGTTAATATTTGTTTATAGGATAAGTTAATAAGAGGGTACCTATTTTATAATAGCTATTTTTTTTGTTAAAGTACAATCTAGGGAAATGCTTTCTAAAGAGGTGAATATATGGAATATGGATTTCATTTAAATATATCTTACGCTCTAAGTAATAACATAATGAAATAATTCTTAAGTAATAAAGACGGAATTCGTTTAGAGTAAACAAAAATAACCTCAAGTCACAATGACATTTCAAAAGTAGGTGTCAGGTTAAAGGTAGGTTAATGTGGTCAAATGCCAAATTGTAATCAGTAATAAACAAGATAGTTATATCTTTATATACATTTATATAACGCAAATAAAATTAAATATAAACCCATTTTCAATAATCTTACAAATCAAAGGATTCTTTAAATTTCTGTTTCGTGGTCATTTTTTTTTCTAATAGGCAAGTAGGTGATCAGTCTTCTGTGCTAGACAGGCACCGTGAGCTTTTTTGGTCCACCGAGTTCCGGTTTCTTTAGGACTTTTTCTTCACCGCACTGGTGTTAAATGCGGGCATATATGTATAATAGATAGTGCATAGCTGGGCTTCGAACCTACGACTCAGGGACCGTAACCACTAGACCAACATTGCTTTTTTACTAACTTAATTAGTTACGCGTATAATTTTTGTATATTTTATAAAAAAGTAGAATCCATTTCTTGCACATAAAAAAGAAACGATACAAGAAATAGATACACAAAATACATAATATGTATCACAATTATTCACGATTTAGAGATAAAACTGTAAAATTGTTGGTCTCAAAGTCTGGTACAAAATTTGTAAAATTTTTGTTGACAGTGGAACTATCAAATCAAGTAAAAAAAAAATATATAAAATTAGAACAGATGGTACACATTTTATGACACCATAAAGCTTAGGTTTCCTAGAAAAGCGGTGCCGTTAACTAACGGCCGTCTATACTTTTTAACATAATGCAAAAAAACAATCATTTTCGCTCGTCCTCGTCACGTTTCCACTCATTGTATTAATTAAATATGAGCACCGCTACACGCGAAAAACGTTGAACTACTGTTTATAACCGCTATGACGGCCGTCATGCAAATGACAGCACCGCTATTTGACGTTACGGTGACACTCAACGTTCTCTAGAAAACCAACTCCGCTGTTAATTTTATAGACAACGTATGGGTGGCGTCACCCAACGTTACATTACGGCCGCTATAACGGCACCGCTTTCATAGGAAACCGTAGCTTTAGTGACGTTAATGAAATACACGCAAGCCGTCTGAGAACTACGTCTAAATATAATTTAAAAATATTTAAATAAAGTAATCTGTACCCAGAAGTTGTTACTACCTCAATTATTATAATAATATTACTTAGCTCAATCTAATTTCGCTTAACTACGCTCACAGTCCAGCGAACTGGAAATTGAAACTCAGAATGATGTCTGCAGTCTAATTTACATTAAACTGTGGTTTAAAACTTTATTTACGTACGACATATTTTTTAATTTCTCGTTATGGACACCAAAGTAATGCATACAATGCCTTAGAATCAAAACCTTTTCAATTAAAAAACTTAAAAATATCTTTATTCATGTTGGTAAACAATTACACTTATGAATTGTCAGAAAGAAGTTAAATTAATTGTAAATTTATATTTACTACCAGTTCGCAAGTCAAGGGCGTAGAGCGGGTAAGAAGAACTGGCAAGAAACTTTTCGCCACTCTTTTTAATCGCCAAGTATTGTCATACAAATTGTTTGAACTGGAGCAAATCAATCCCATTCAATAATCCTCCCTAATAAATAAATACTAATATAAAAAGATTCTTATTTATAAAAAAGTACATATAAAATTACGTTCTCGATATAAAAAATGTTAATAGAACCGCATTTAAATTACAATTCTTTATGAATAGGCTAGACCGGCATTTGACCTACATGGCGGAAATGCGATGCCTTCCAATTTATGCCATAAGTAAAGGTTATCTACATTTTGACACAGACTATCAAGTTCAACATAAAGCAATGGGTGACGTCAGCTGTATGGTAGCATGTGTGTGTGTGTCTATATGGCATAAAATAGGCATTTTTAATAAACTGAAGCTATTGCACCCCTCGAGTGACATTTTAAATCTAGGTCATAACTCCATGTTTTTCTTCATTGTCTTATCTACTTGCTAGTCACAAAATAGAAAATTTTATCTATGAACAGTGTGGGTTTAATTAAACTCATTACAACACTGTTAATAAAAAAATCTTTAATTAAACCATAGACAATTTTGGAAATCGACGCTTATTAAGAATAAGAGTACAATGCGTTTACTGAGACTGTCCAGTAGAACGCATTGTAGCAAATGTAAGCGAAATATATCTTATGGTATTTGATAGTGAATCGCCTTAGATCCAACAATATAACTTAAAACGTAAAATAATGTGCAAAATATCATAACATATTAATTAATTTTATGATAATAAATAGTCCGGTACAAGTAAATAAAACAAAATACGATCAAAGCATAGAAACACCTTAACATAGATTGCGGTACAAAATGAAATGGTTATTGTTGAAATAGGCATAAATTCTCCTGATTTACACTGAGTTTTCCTAAATCCATTTAACATCTTCCTCACGGAAACATGGCAATTAGCCCGAGAAATATTGCTGTTCCAAACGAAGCTATCACTTAATTATAGTACAGTTTATATTCATGTATCAGTGATATCAGAATACGTATATCTGTTAATATTGAGAGTCCCTCTCGTAACTGAATGTTGTTACTTATATTAAACGAAGGTAGGATGCAACGTGATACAAGTACGCGTACCGCGTGACCAAACAACATACTCGTTTGCAGAAATGGTAGAATTAAAGCGGGTAGATTTGTTTGAGAAACTTAACTGCAGTTGTTAAATGATGGATTTATTGTTTTTCTATTTTTTTAGATTATTATTATAAAATAATTAAACGTTTTCTTTTCTATCTCAAATTATTATTACATACTTACAAAACTTGTACTTTTACTGGTTTCTTCTTATTACATGCTTTCGCTTAGAGTAAGTTCTATATAATAATATCAAAAATATAACTTGAAAGGCAGAGTTGGCCTATGATATTTAAATAAATCTAAAGTTCATGGCAACTTAAAAAAAAAGGCCAAGACACAAAAAAAGGGCCGGGAACGCACTTGCGAGCCTTCTGGCAATGTGAATATCCATGGGTATCACTAAACATCAGGTGAGCCTCCTGTCCTTTTGCCAATTACATAAAAAAAAAGTTACGTACATTTTATCGACTGTTAAAAATAAAACAATATTTTTTTAACCCCCAAAAATTAAGAGCTATTTGTTTGGTTATTATATTACTCTCGCAACAGTAGTTCGTTTATCTAATAACACAAAGCGTAGATTGGTTGGGATAACCTACAGAATAAATGGTTGTGGGTCGGGTTACAAAATGTTCTGTCCAATGTCTCGGATCGTTTCCAATTTACGAACAAGAAGTGCACAATATATGAAAATCTTTTGGAAAGCTTTACCATATTAATAAATGCACTAAAACTTATAAAGTATTTTTTTTATAAAAGTTGATCTGTTAATTATTTCTTTAAATTTAAACATAATAACGTCACGTCATTGTCATCGATTGAAATTTAACACGATACATCATTTAAAAAAATTCTCACTTTTGTATTTTGATAAGTTACATACACATAAAAACAATCAATGAAGCCGATGCAAAAATGATGACGCCCAACCCAAATACTTACAAAACCAAAATATATAAAAAATCCGTTGGGAAATGGACGTGAGCTTTGAAAATTCATTTCCGTAAAAATGCCTGACAATACAGCGAAAAATATAAACTGTAAATTCTATCAAACTCCGCGTAATTTTATCACAACTAGAGTTCGTTCAATCGTGTTTTGACAGCGGGCGCTTAGGGAATTCGTTGTTCAATGAAAATTTTCAATCATCAAATCCATACTTTGTTATCACTCAAACGAGATTGGTCAAACAGCCACTTGCTGAGATTTAACTTACAGTATATTTTGTTTAGCACTTCGTTGCACAACAAGAATCAAATAATGGGTGCAATAGACAGAGCTAAGAGTAACAACCAAAGGTGCAAATAAAAATTAAACTAGATTAAACACAATAATATACACGTTCATAAAGTAATATCTTCACAAGGTAAGGTACAAGAAAAGCATTTATAGGCATACCACTTCATTAGTTCAAGAATGTTTATTAATTAGCAAAATGACATTAGTTAATACAAAATAATCAATAGCTATTTGAAGTTTATAGTAGTTTTATGATAAGGATGTGTACTAGTCGGAGAAATTGCATAACTTTTGTCAATTAAGTAGTACGTGACTACTTTGTTTCTTACTGTATCTGCATCAACGTAAGAAACTAACCCACAGTTATAATTTTATTATAAAAAATCTGTTTAGTTTAATCATTCCACAACTGCGTTATATAAGGCCATTTTTTGCCCACCACTATGTGGAATCAGCTACCTACTGAAGTATTTCCGAACAATTTTGACTTAGGGGTTTGAGCAAAGAGCGTACCATTTCTTAAAAGCCCGGCTGGCTTATCACTTTATATCGGCTGAGCATCCTTGTAGTTTGCCCCTGTTCTATTAAAAAAAAATCTTAACATGAGATACTAGTAACTAGAGCCCGAAACACAGCATCTTGTAAAATTTACATATACGTGCCGTGGTGTACACCTTCTCCAATCATAATATATATATCTTGCGATATTAAATGCTTATAATGTACAAACCTAGCATTTTCTAAAATACAGTAAATACACGAGAGGATCCTTTGGAGAAGTTGATTGCATCTGCATTAGATTTGTTCCACACATTCCTTTGAATACATTTCAACGTCAAATGCATTTTCCAGTTATTTATTTGCTGTATTTAGTACGAGATAAGAGATAAAGACTAACATATTAGACTATAAATAAGCTAAAAGATTAACAAAGTTGAAATAGTCCCTGTTTTGTATGCTCTTTTAACTTTATATACTGAAAAGTATAAGATTTTCAAATGCTTGGAAATAAAGTTCAATCGCTTACTAGATATTGGATTCCCCGAGCGCAAATTTATTGCGAAGCACAGGCCTCTCTCAATCCGTTATAGACTCGTAACTTCATATATCCCTTTAGTTATATTGCTTTACTAACAACATAAAATATTTATTCCAGTCCAACTTTATTATGCATTAACCTCTTTAAATTTGTTAAACAGATTTAATGCGCGTATAATAAAAGCCTTTTAGTTATTTTTTCACTTGCATAGATTTGATTATCAATATCCTAGTAAGTTTATATAGTAGTAATTCTCCATGTGATGTGTCGCTTGTGCCTAGCCTGTTTTCCTCTGCATTCATTTGATTCTCTTACAGTTGTAAGCAGACGCAACACACGGATTAGCGACTATAGCGTGAGTTTTCTATGAGTAATACCTTTAAAGGAAACACTTTTTTACCGGATTGAAGTTATGTAGTATCATAAACTTATGACTATTTTACATAATTAAAGTTATATCTTGATTTGTGGTATGGGACAGCCAGTTTTTCGCCCGTATTATGTTAACAAATGATTTGGGATTTCTATATTATCTTTCCAATCCAGGATATGGTTCTAGATAAATTAATGCGAGATAAACTGAGTTATGTTTAAGATTAAACGCTATGAAAGCTTTTAGCGCTTATGGGCTTCTTCAGATATATTTATCATTATTTTTTATGCTACAAGCGCCTAATGGAAATATATCGTTAGAAGAAAAACTTTTCTAGGGTTACTAATATATAAAACGTTATGAAGAAACTAGACACATAGAAACATAGAAGGCCGATCATTTGAAATGATAATTTTGCGTGGAATAAATTAAAAGGTACGAATGTATTGAACAGGAAAAGGGCCTTTACTCTGTTACTTCTGATAGCGATACTGCCAGAAATCCCGATCTTAATAATGATGTTTTGCGTTCTTGCGCCTTGCCTTGGGATAATGGGTTGGGATGGGGTGTTACATCAGCATATACAAAAACTTCGAGGTCAGTATCGCTGTCGCTACAACTTCGTTCTCCACTCACTCCTTTGAGCTTCCGTCCTGCACTTCAGGCAATTAACGACCACCCCACGACGGCCAAAGCCGAGGCCCAAGACGAGAGTCTCGCAGGAGACGCTAGTTGTGGAAAAAACCCCGTTTCCAACAGAGCGAAGCTCGCCAAAACAGTCGTACCACAACTTTCAAAGCCTTCAGACAGAGAAAAAATATCGCTTTTGTTTATTTCGTTATTAGAGACTGAGACTAAGGGCTCAGCTACTGGTTTTATTCAATACATTCGTATAGAAACCAATCATTTACGCTTTCAGCATTTAGGTTTGATTTCAGGAGAATTTTCTGATTTTACATTCTTGACTGAATTGCGACTAAATGCTAACATTGACTGGTCAAGCTTGTACATTTCCCTATCTACTTTTGTTAGATGATAAAACATCTCTCAAAATACCTAAGAATACCAATCGTCTACGGGACTTTCAATGTTTTTTATTGTAATATGTATAAATAATGGTATATACACTTGCTTTGAGCATCTTACACAGGAATAATATAAAAATGGTGACTATTTAAGATCTGTCAATGAAATATTTCTATACTGATAAACAAAGGGAAAGAAGTTTATCAAAAAAATATCTAATCCGGTTCATGCTGTGAGAGAAATGGCAAAATAAATTTATATTGACAGAAGATAATAGCAAATTCCTATTGTTATTCTATTCCTATAAATGGAATAAGATAGTTTCAAAGTAACTCAGTGGCACTGTAGTGTAACTTGTAGCCTAGTTCGACGATGTTTTTTGTTTCGGACTCGAAAGCATCTAGAAAGTATCTATGTAGCAAGGGGTATATAAATTTAGGATATGGGATATGATATGAAATATCAATTCAAATCTTTTCGTCCATAGAGCTTTCACGTGTTAAATCAAAATATCTACGCACTACACAATTCGCTTCGTTAAATGCAATGTTTCTAATTTGCATAATAAGTATTCGAAAAGCTTTTTGAAATTGATTTGATGAATTTGGCTTTATGAAAAATATTAATTATTATTCCTACATAAATTTCAATTAAAATTGATTTTTTCATTTTTCACACTTGGACCTATCCGGGTCCAACTAATGTTCTGCAAGAAACATGTGTAGTGAAAATTAGACAACATTTGAGCTAAACTTCCAAGCACAGGTGCTGAATTCCTAAGCGTATGCTTATCCTCAGACTTCTAAACAAAAAGTCATCTCAATTTGATTTGACAAATTTTTATACTTAGAATGATAAAACATAAAATTAAATATTTAGTAATAATATATCAATATGGAAACTTAAATATTAATGTATTTAGTCATATTATTATCGATATTTTTTTATTCCTCGCCTTACATTGTATATGACGCTATTAATACTTATACTAAAATGATTAATAATTTCATATAGTCATCGAGTTACATTTGTGCATGATGCAAGGGGTATCATATATGCACAGTTGTAGTTTCTTCATTTGATGTAGGAATTTAATTTCTTTAGTTAAAAATTTTTAACTAAAGAAATTAAATTCCGGTTTAAATTTGTCAAATGATCGATATACATTCACGTGTAAGCAGTGCAAGCATGTAAACCTTTCTTTTTTATAAACATATATATTTATAACTGTAGAACGTAAATGACACATAAAAAACACAATTCGCTATATTAAATCTTAGTTTATATGAAGAAGTTTCAAAAACATCTGACTGTACCTATGTCATTTCGTAGAATGCGATCGGACAAATCAAGGTCAAGAAAGAAAATCACAGTGGTACAACTGCCCTATTACCTACGCTACGGGACTTTACACGTTTTATTTATTTTCCTTCATAATATGACCTAAGTGTTTGTGAAATGGATGACAACATGCTTATAGGGTTATCTGTTAATATTATCTGTTAGTATTGCTTTGAACTCGCTGCGCCTCAGTAGTTGATAAAGTGAGTACTTTTTAAATAATAACAAATCGTCGAGCATATTATTGTGTATCTGTTATTAATAGATTGATTTAAAATCAATATTTCTGCAGTTCCACCATGATCTTAAATAATAAAAAGCTTAATATATTCCTATGAAAAATCTTACAGCGTGGTGGGTTTGCTCTATATACGCATTAAGAAGTCTCATAGGAATACCTTGGTGCCGACGTTTCATACTGTGCCATCCATCATACATACCATATGTTATCTGACATACTCTATCATTATAAGTATTATAGTAACGACTTTTATTCCAGATGCGTCTCCTAGTGATACTATTACTCGCTGTCTCTATTAAAGCGCGACACATTGAAAAGGAATGTACTGGAATTGTCGTAAATGACATACTTCAGAATGAAGAAATTTTAAAGACGCATGTTATGAGTCCTTATCAATTGGCAATGGATTACGATACTAACACATTATTCTACAGTTATTCGACAGAAGATTCTAATGTCTTTCAATCCGCTTATCTTAATTTGAAGACAAATGAATTCGGTAACATACCTGGCATTGCTGGAGGCTTTGCTAACGCAGTTGATAATAAGAAAAATACTGTTTACCTCGGCGGAAAAGATGGTATTTATGAATTTAATTACAATTCTAAAACTGCGCAACGTCTTGATATAACTGATGATAATATTTGGCAATTGATTTATAAAGATAAATTGTACTACTCAAAATATCCAGAAGAACACGCTTATATATTTCAAAACGGTAGAGTTGAGAGAGTACCGGAATTGATTAACACCAGAGCCATGCTGCTATGTGTCGATGACTACAACAATATTTACTTTTCAAATTCATCTGGTTTGTTTATTCATAAAAAAGCAAATGATGCCGTCATTCACATTGGAGACTTTAATGTCAATGGATTTACTTATGATGTCCATGGTGATATATTTTTCTCTACACCAGATGGCATTTTCTCTATTGACGTTGCCAAGAAAGAAGTAAGGAATGTGGCAAAAATTGAAAGCGTCAGTGTCTATGGTGTGGCAATAGATATTACTGGAAATATCATTTATGCGTCAGAGGATAGTATTATTAGACTCAAACCAAGTGCAAAAAATTGTCCTACTGAAGATGCTACTGTCACATTTTACTAATTTTTTTTTACTATTAGTTATTACTTTAGTCATTTATTTTAGTGCACTTGCACAGCTCAATGGTTCAAATCAAAACTTCCCATTTATAAAATTTAATAATGTAGAAATAATGAGGTCATGTTCACATTAATAGGTATATGCTTAAATATAGTAATGACTAATTAAATGTGTTTTATTTATTGTATAATACATTACCTTCACAATGATACAAAGGTTAACTAATTAGATAGTGTATGATATATTTCTCTCCAACACTTTGACATCACGTGAGAATTCGAGTTTAATTTTTTACCAACTTCAATATCAAAAGTTACCTCGTTAGTTAGTATTGTTTCAACACCGTACGAGCTGTATCATTTCAAAATTTCATTAGCATCACCGTGATGGCTGGAGTTTCTCCACGGTTCGCTTTACAAGACACTTTATTTTGCGAACTAGCGAAGTGTGGAATCAATTGGTGGACTCTTCCTGATATGATCTCCCAGGTAAAGAGTTAAAGATTATACTCTACTCCTTCAAATGACGGCAACGCACCCACTAAAATGGGTGTCTATGGGCTGCGATGACTGCCTTTTGGGCGTCCCGTAGGCTCCTTTGAACCTCTATACTAAAAAAAGGAAGGGAGGTTTTATGAAACCACGCTAAAAGTGAAACTTTTTTTCACATTACTTATAGATTTTTAACTAAAAATTTTTGGAATTACATTCCATTAATTGTATAAAAATGGCTTTCGTTTGTTCGTTTGTTTACTTGGAAAATTGGAATGATAATGGGAAATAATAAAAGTAGACTAAGTCTCCAACAATATTTTTATTGAACTCTGTGTCACATTGGCCTTGGCTGCTATGACGAGCGCCTTTCACTTTATCCCTACTCCGCGGCCGACCGTCACGCGACATGCAACACACAGACAAAAAAGTTTGAGACGATGTAATAAAAGTTTCACTTTAAAAACAAAGTTAAGACAAGTTATTTCAATACATTACGAATGCTATTCGATGTTCTGCTTCGGTATAGTTCCTATTTTTCCATACAAAACAACAATTAAAACAAGAGAAACAAGAATTGCGTTAGGTACCCCCATTTTCGGTTTGCAAAGTATGAATCAGTGAAGTAGAATTGGTTTATAGAAAATGAGATACTATTCGTTCCAGAACTGAGGGCATTCTTTACTGGGGCTTGAAAATCTTTTACCGCTTTATAGTGCAAAATACATATTGTAAAATATCATGAGAGCACAATGTTCAGTGATTCACAACGGTCGTGTGATTCCAGCCGCTTATTTGCCTGAAAGCTTTATGAATAATTCTTTTGTGTAGCCCTCTTTTTTCACTATACTTGATGAAAATTTTATTGCCTTTTGATGTCGAGCCAGGGCGTGCAAAATTAAAAATGTGTTTTACATTATTTTATTCTTTAATTAATTCTCATTTTAAATATGAGAATTATAAGCAGATTGTTCATATCTTTTCTTCCTACAGACTGACTTTTCGATAGTTTCTTACCATTAGTGGTTTATAAATGTCGTTAAGTTAAAGTGAGAATTTTTGGGTAAATTCCGTAAAACAACAGCACAATTAATTCAGGTTCATTGTTGACTGTTTACAATTTGGCTGATGGAAGACCCGACTCACGTTTTTGCATATTTTAAAATATTTATTACATTGCAAGCTAATAAAATTTAACAGGAAAGTAATTATACTTCTATTATATTTATACCTATCACATATATGTTGGATTTTTATAGTCTGACTGATGGCTTAATTAAAAAAAAAGGGAATACATTGATTTGTACCAATTCTTAAAAGGTACCGTATTCGCAAGCCCTCTGGAATAGGTGGCAGTATCAGATGAGCCTATTTGCCTCTTGTTCTATAAAAAAAGAAGGGATAGATATGAAGCCATACTTATACATTTTAATATCAGTTTATTATTTAATTTATGTCTCGTTGGTCCAACATAGATTATTGACTCTATCCCACGGGTTGAAAGTGATCATGACCGCAGAACTGGTGCTTGTCTCAAAATTCCGACAATTCTTCACACCGGAACAGCTTCTTCAAGCCGGTTCGTGTGTGGAGTACTGCTGTCACCTCTGTGCCGGTGCTGCTATGTGTCACCTAAACGAATTATACACGCCGATTCACTGGTTAAATCTAAACTCTTAAGTCTTAACCATCGACGTTCCGGAGAGTGCTTCTTATCTACACAGTAGCACGTTCACCCTTTCGTTGTCAAAAGTACCCAACTACACGATTTGGATCGTCGTTTCCAAATCCCCTCCAATCTTCTTAAAACGAATATGGGTTCATTCAGGCTGCTATGGGCTGCGGCTAAATAGACACCTCTTGGATAGGCGTACCCTCCAATAAGCTGTATCTCATTTTTATAGGATAGAAGGAAGCCGCAGGTGCCAGTCTTTGGGGGAAGGGTATGCTAGCTTTTTAAACAATTTGAGGTCGTATTTCCCTGGGAAGCCCTCCACCGTGAGTCGGTTCTACAGTTCGCTACTTCTCATCAGGTGGGATTGCTGTCAAACATCTCTTAAGTTATGTATACAAAACATATATTTTATTTTATCAAATAAGTAATATTTTAAAATAAGTTTTTCTTATCGTAAGTACAATATGAAGATATACGAAAAGTAGTAGTAGCTTTATATAAAAGGTTCTAGAATAAGCGTTTTGTGTGCAAATTTCAGACATTTCAAGACCTAAGTTTCACATCGCTTAGGTAAGTACTTGAATATTGAAGTTTTATTTTCAGAGCCAGACGTAGGTTCATTCAGAGCTAGACTTCTAAATAAAAATGAAACTCGAACTATATATAGTACCTACTATTGTATTAAGAATAGTATAAGAATTCGCTCGATAGCGGGAATGTCTTTGAGAAACGGTCTGACTGAGAGAACTCAACTGGCTAATAAATGGGCTGACTTGATACTAGATATATATTAATAAACGCATTGATTAATGTTCATATAAAACAATGACTTCTTATTTGTATTGACTTATTGTTTTAGTTGTCAAACAAATACAAGTACATAATTTATTAAAAGAGGCAGTACAGTAAAATAATTTGATGTAATTTTAGTTAACTAAGTAAAGAAGTAAAATGCCTAATAATGTCCTAATCCACCTCATTGTAAATCCATCGAGAAACTGAGAAGCCAGAAAAAGTTAAATTGTCAAAGTTTTAATTGATGTTCTCGTCGTATTTTTGTTATAAGATTTTTTGCGATCGACATCTTCAGGTAAACGAGTGTTGTCATGGCAATAAAAGTATATTTTTAACAAATGGTATGACGATGATATGGCGAGAACGTTGCTGTTATAATTATAGGACGGTGAAAATTATTAATGCGGCATTTATTAAAAACGATGTTAGTGTAGACCCGCAGTTCTTCGACCCTGAGGTCATACCATACAATCCCCTTTGTAGCGTTTTTAATTCAGAAAATATAGTTTAAAAAGAAACTTGCATAAACACGATTAAATTTCTATTTTTAACTGCATTCTGCGGCTCTTATAATCATAAATATTTCATACAAATGTTTATGGTCAACACTTTTCTACAACAATTTTTTCTTTTATAAATTTATGAAAAACTCAAATGTAATGTTTATTAATCGAATGGTATCTATGAAGTTAAATTGATTTAATAAAAAAAATGGGTAATTTTACTAAGCAAATTTTACTAAGCAATCTTTTAGATTGCTCAGATACAAGGCATATAAAATCATCAGTCAATTACTGAAACTTTGAAAATCACGAAATAGTGAAATATTATTTTAGTCTCATATTCAGTGGTAAAAACAGTGAATTACGTGAATAGTAAACTTTATAAACATATTGAACGCGAATACAAAACTTAAATATAATTGGAGTCATTAAAATTATTTAATTAGTTCATTTAAACAAATAATTTATAACAGTAATATCTAGAAATAAGTGTGTTAATAACAAACAAAAGATAATCCATAATTAATTAGCTGATGACTTATATACCGAATCTCCTATTAAGTAATTACAACTCATTAGATTTGACATAAGGTAGAAGTTATAAAGGCCCAAAATTAAAGAAATGCATCAGTTAAGACTAGACGTTCATTCGGAACTCATAATTAATGACACATTGAAAATGGACAATACTACAAATACTGTTGAAGGCTGTGTTGCTGATAAGCTTACTGATGTGGTTGAAAGTGTTATTGAACAAAACGAAGAGTTCCTTGACGCATACGATGATGAGCTGTATGATATATGTGAATCGGTTGAGAGAAATATCGGGTAAGAACACTTTAAAACTACTCAAAATATTTAAAACGAAGTTCTTTTTTTTTCTATATAATAGGGGGGCAAACGAGCCTGCGCGACGACCAAAAGGGCAGTCTGCGCACCCCATAGACACCCACTTTTAGTGGGTGCGTTTCCGGCCTTTGAGGGAGGAGTAGACTCGCTTTTTAAACATTTGGAGGTCGTATCTCTGAGGGAAGACCCCCGGGAGCCGATTCCACAGTTCGCTAGTTCGCAAAAGAAAATGCCTTGTTCAACAACAAAGTAAGTTTAAGTAGTAAATGTAAACAATTTTTGTTACAGATTAACAGAAATGGAACATCCCCAGGAACCAGAGAGGCCACAAAAAAGAAACATCGAACTTGAAGACAATAATAATACGAAAAAGGTGAAATGCGAAGAAACCTGTGATTCAGAAACTTGTATCACCGATGAAATGGTCAAGTGTAAATTCTGTCAAATACTAGTTCGTAAAAAGTACTTCGCAACCCACTCGAGAAGCAAACTTCATAAAAATAATATATCTAAATTGCATAATACGCTAAAAGTATCTGTTGAGTCGGCTTTTGGCAAGCGAGTCATTTCATACAAAATGAACGACAAAGTTATTGACCAGTGCGAAACACCGGAAGTATTTTTGAATTCTATCAAGAATGAAATAATGGTATTGATACAGAAATGTATTGAAACGTATAATGTAACTAAACCTTAATTATATTAAAATTTATTGTGTATATAATGTAGTGTAATAATTGTGTTTTTAATATTATTAATTAATTGCTGTTTAATAATTTATAAAGAGAATAGTTTTGTTCGGTTATCGTTTTATGTTGTATTTAACATATATTATATGTGTAATTTTTCACAAAATATTCAAAATATTGTATCTACTTGCTAGTTTAAAATAGAAATCTCTAATTTACTTTATTTTGTTTAAATTTCAAAAATACAATTTGAAAATATTTTTTGCGTAATTTTTGGTCCGGTTTAATTAACATTAAACACAATCTAATTTATTTACCTTCGACTAATTTTTTGTATTTATATTTTTAATTATCATTTTTTTCTAACTTCTATTATTCTTAGTACTATTATTTTCTTGTTTAAGCATAATCTACTAACCTTATAAATAAAATTATAATCTAATAATTGCACAGAATTTTTGTTTTTTATTACTTCCTTTATTTGGAGTCCTTCAAATTCTTGCAAAAATTCTCGAAACACTTCAAAAAACGTACACAAGAGTTCATACATCATTTTTGACAATGCACAAAGAACACAAAAGCAAGCTTTGATCAATTGTTGTGAAAAACGGTTGAACACTTTACGAAGATCACGATTTGGTATTCAAAGGCTACTGTTGAAGTTCCTGCAATGGAATATCTAATTTCAGGGCCCGGAAGTAAAGCTGTCGTTACACTAGAATATTAAGCGATGAAAACAGGTAGTACACTATGAAAATTCATTCAAACCGAAAAATTTAATATTACGCTTCATTTGTTTCAAGTTTATTAGAACGTAGTAGGTGCTTAGTTAACTATAGTCGTTATTTTAATGTGTAGGTATAATTTAATAATAATAATTTATATTAATATTAGTAAACTTTGTAAAGTTTTGCTTTTCCTATGGTCGATAGGATAAACCATAGATATGGAAGTAACTTATAAAAAAATAAGTGTTTACCTTTCTTTTAAGCTAAAACAAAATTAACTGAACCTAAGTATTGGACACGTGCGTTGATGGACGAAATGAAAACTCATTGCTCAAGCTTGGCAAGGGGAAGACAGAGGGGTGACTAAACTACTAATTCTACGAAACAACATTACTAGAAATAATAATAGATATGCTGTTCTTTTGTAGTAAGTGTGAATACAGCAAACATATATTGCATCTTTAACCGCATTTAACTTCAATTTGTTACACGTACATAACAGAATTGTTCATTGACACGTGGACTGCGTTTCATTTCCGTTAAGGATGCATGAATGGTTCGACGCGCAGAATATACGTAGAATATCTGGGAACACTTGAATTTTAGTTTCGGCAACTAAAAGTTGTAATTTGTATGACTCGTAGATTTTTTAAACTTTGTTAAATGTGCTTTCTATAAAAAACGATAACGAAAATTTTGGGAGAAAGTTATTTCTACAGAAAAGTAGGACAGAGTTAGCTATGAAGGTTTTATTTACATGTAATATTTTGCTTTTTATAATGAGATATTGAAACAAGAAAGCGTAGTATATAAGTAGTAAAAGTGGGACGCCGCATGACTTTTTTTATTATATTTATTGATGTATGGAAGTAAGTTCGAAATAAGTTGTCACGGTAAATGAGGGTACACACATTGCTGCATTTGCTTCACTTATCTTTTTTGATAAGTAGGTGGCACGTGTGAAAACATCGTTCCCTAAAGCGATGTCCGATTAAAAGCCTGTCCATCCATGTGTCAGTAAATGTGACCTGATGATTATTGAAACTGGCCTTTCATTTCCTCCCTGTGACAGATGGAAATTGCAAGTACATCATCACACGAATGCGACGTTTTTGTCCATTTTCCTTATCGCATATTAGAATTGGATTGGAACATACAAGTATGATCGCTATGTTGACTAGAGCATGATAATCATTAAAGGCCTAATCGTATAATACTTTTGCTAATAAATTTGGAAAAAAAATGTGTTTTTCAAAGAGCTTGATAGTGTAATTATTACAATTAAACCAATAAGTGTAATATTGTGATAAAAGAATGTCAATTTAAATGTACTACCAGTTCGCAAGTCAAGGGCGTAGAACGGGCAAGAAGAACTGGCAGGAAAGTTTCCGCTACTCATTTTAATCGCTAAGTTTTGAGTCATACAAATTGTTTGAACTGGAGCAAATCAATCTCAAGGGTTAGGATCATTTAAATATTCGTCAAATTTATAAAAAGATTTATTAATTAATTTACATTTAACGAGAGCTTTGAATTTATTTTGTGGTAGTTCTCTAATTTCGCTTGGGAGTTTGTTATAAAAACGAATACAATTTCCATATATGGAGGGGTTTGCATTTTATTTATACATAAACTAACATTATTCTATTGTCATCCTTCTTATTAGAGATTAGTGTTTTAAGCTTACTTAACAATTTTAAAATGAACGTGTTAAATTAAACGTTGCGTGGTACGTAAATAAGTGATTTTGTTGCACGGCAAACATTATTAATAACATGTAATGGGATTCGTTTATACAATAGTCCTTTGATGTAATATTAAGAACAACTCAAGTATAACGTGATAAAAGTAAAATGATGTAAGAACTTATATCCTGAGGGATCTTTTGTACGCGAATAGCATTCACGGACCCAACCTAACACGTAGCTCGAAAGGCTTTCAAGTTGAAAAACCGCTTCAAATGGTAAAGAAAGTATCGCATAGTCTGTAAGATGAGTCCATACAACAATATGTCTTGTTTTATCATGCTAAGTGTATGGTATAGCAACTTAGCCTATTTCACTGTTTTCCACATTTTGTCATCATATTTATCTGGGATAAATAGGATTTAGTTTACGCTTGTATTTTATTATGATGATATGTTTAATATATCATATATATTACCAATGGCGCTGCAACTTTTTTTAGGTCTTGGCCTCAGATTTCTGTATTCCGTGAAAATTTCTAATTGGACTTTTTGGGTCTATTATCTATAAGGTAGGGGTTTTGTGTCTCTGTTCATAGTTTTTTTATGATCTCTATCTTTGCCTGTCGTCATGAGTATTGTACGAACCAAGGCTGTACATTTTCTCACTCAGGCTTTCTTAGCTTTATAAGCGTGGCGATATCCTAAATCGTCGGAGTTACGCCCCGAGTATAGCCAGACGTATGCACTGTCTTCAACTGTTACATTGCATTCATTCGTTGCATAACAATTAACATTTCATTATTAAAGCACCCCGATGACCCAGGAACCGTACAAGTATTATGGGATACGAACACTATGTACGTTGCCTAATTAGACATGTGGACCGGACCCTTAGCAAATTTGTTATATTAATACAGACGTCAGTTTGACGGCTCATTGGTCTAGTGGTTAGTAGCCCTGACTGCGAATCCATGGGTCCCGGGTTCGATCCCCGGCTGAGACAAACATTGATGTGATGAGCATTTGGTGTTGTTCTTAGGTGTTTAAATATGTATTTATATGTGTTAGGTCTATCTATGTATAATATGTATGTATATTCGTTGCCTAGTACCCATAACACATGCTTCACCAGTTTAGCATGGGACTAGGTCAATTGGTGTGAATTGTCTAATCATAAAAAAAAATGATTTAAAACAATAAAAATATTATACTTGACCTACATGGAAACAATCTATATATTCTGGGAATTGTTACGTGAAAATTATAAAATATTGAATTATTCAATCCATCCGGATATTATCTGTCAGTGAATAATAGCTTTTCCGAGCTTTATTCATTGATCGTCAGATACCTACGGATCGCTATCCGTGCAATAAAAAAACTCATTTGAATTTTAATTGATATGCGGCGAGTTACCGCAGGTTTTGCTTATGTGTTGTAAACTTTACAATGGATTTTTAACAGATGTACAGCCTATATATGTAGTATGAAAGCAGAATTGAAAGTCCTGCTACCTGATTTGATTCGAATGATTTAATCAATAGAGGGATTTAAGAGAAAGGAATTTGTATCTTCACACTATGTAAGTATTACATCGACAAAATATCAAATAGGCAAATAAAATAATCCTATAATTATTATGTAGCAAATTCTCTGTTATGTCTGTCTAAAGCTGCCTCATTTGATCCCCTGTACCATCTGTTTCTTAAATTTTATTAGAAAGGATAAACTACTGTGCATAATATTCTAATCTACAAACACGACGTCACGGACGTTAGTAAAATGAACATCTTACCAAAAGGGCTTTTCCTAAACCTCTTTTATTTAGTCAATCCGTCGCTACGCAACTACTCGTAGAATATATTTAGGTCTAATTTTGCAGTCGAAACATGACACCATTATGATTGAGGCCTGTAATTTAATACAGTAGACAGTGAAAGAGAGACGCTTATTAAAATAATAGTATGAAAATCGTAGGCAACCTTTGCCTGTGCGTAGACATTAAGCCTTTTAACTTAGCTATCAAAGCAGAGTTTAGATAGTTTTTAGAATATCTCAGTTTACAAGACAGGTAGGTATTTGAACTTGTATTGTCTGTTCTTTTTTCAAGAATATAGTGTATTAAAAGGCTTTGTTTGTCAAGTAACATTGAAGATACGACGCAGGGCAGACTGTAGTTTTAATAATAAGGTTAAATTGCTTGTCAGCTACGATGTAAGAAATAAGAATTTAAGCTTCAAGATATTACGAGACATTGCTCATTAGGAATATGATGATCATATCTTCTTGCAAATTGTCTGGAATTTGTTTTATACAAATATATTGAATCTGCTTCTTTTGTTTTATATTGTTTGATAATACATTTATTTATTTTATTAGCGTTCAGTCTCAGTGGCAGTATTGAATATTTATTTCGTAAAACTTTAAGATATTGATATCTTCTATAAAACTGTAGTACATAATTATGCCCTATTGTCAGGTACGCAGCGTACGCGATATAGTGATTTTAAAGGTATGTTTTTCACACCTTAAGTTGAATTATCGAAATTTTCTCTCCGGTAGTTTTGGAGCCTATTCAATGCAAACAAATAAC